GAAACTTTACATGCTAGATCCTAATATTTTTCAAATAGGGTCTCATGTTTTGCCTGGGCTGCCTGTACCGTAATCCTCCTATGTAGTTCTGATGACAGGATGTGCTACCAGGTCCAGTTCATTAGTTGAAATGGGGCTCTCACTAATTTTTTGCCAGGATTGACCTTGAGCTATTATCCTTCTGATCTCTACCTCTGGAATAGCTGAGATTACAGGCATGGGCTTAACACTAGGCCTTTTGTTCATTTTTAATGAGTTTCATTATGTACACGATCATATTCACCCTCCTCCATTATCCTCTTTTACCTCCCATACCGGTTTCTGTTCCCAAATAGTCCCCATTCTACATTCATATGAGAGAAAATGTGACATTTTTCTTTCTGAGTCTGGCTTAACATGATGATTTCCATTCCATCCAATTTCCTGCAAATGGCATTTTATTATTCTTTATGTCTGAATAAAACTCCATTGTGCATATATACTACGTTTTCTTTACCCATTCATCTGTTGATGAGTATCTAAGCTGATTCCATAACTTAGCTGTTGTGAATAGTGTTGTAATAAACATCTATTGTAAGCAAATTTAATTCCTTCAGGTATATACCAGGAATGGGACATCTGGGTCATATAGTAGTTCTAGTTTTAGTTTTTTGAAGGAGATTTTTTTAATAGCCAAATTCTCTGCCATCAAATAATATGACAGGTTTAAAAAATATGACAGGCAGTCTTAAAGATTTTCATTTGCATGAAATAATCAAGGAATTATGAGCAAAAAATTAAAAGTTCAATATTTTCCTCATCTTCAAGTTTCCAAGGGCTTTTACATATTATATTATCTATGAGATCTTTCTAAGTATTCCCTGTAAAACTCAATTCCAATGATTTACTGACTCTGGGGTGATGACAATCCAACATTTTCTCTTGTTTCCCACCTCTTGATGTCCTGTTTCCCCTCCTTAAACTTCATGGCCACAGACATAACCATCCCCTTGCATACTCTCTCACTGGCTAGACTTGCTTGCTTCACACTTTTGGCAAAAGGACAAACCTGGTCAACTGAAACTCTTCATCTACTGCTACCTGTAAGACTGAGTGTGATCAGAAAAAAGACACAATCACACTGACAATCTCACATTAGGACCATCATGCAACCCCATGTGACAACCATATTATGCCTTTTAATTTTATTTCCTAGACTATTTCTTCTTAAGCTTCAAATACCTTATCAATACCCCACAAGATCATGACTTTGCTCACTTTACTGAAAATATCAGAGCAGAAATCAGAGAACATCCACATTCCCTATCACATACACATAGGAACTACATGTGTACCTAGGTATAGATAACCAATCCTCATGTGTACAACTAATCCCATCACTTTTGCCTTCTCAAGAATTTGTTCCATATATTCTCCCCTTTTACCTGTATCAGAAAATTTCCATTTTGTTGAAGTATGCCTATTACCATAAAAACATACTGATATTTTTCCTGTGTTAAAATAAAAAAAAATAGCTATTGACTCTACCATTTTTGTCAGCTACTGACTCCCAACATCATTTCTTTGGTCACCTTGGGGAAAATGTTTGTGAAAGAATAGACTATATTCTCTGTTTCCAGTTCCTCTCCTCTTTTGCCCTTGCTGTTCCTCTGCAATGTGTTCATAACAATCACCAGTAATATCCACATTGCTAAATCTAATTGTCTGTTCTCAGGCCTCATTTTATTTGACCAAGTAGCAGTGAAAATGCCTTCATGCCATCCTCACCCTCACATTCAGGATGTCTCATGTTCTTGGTTTTCTTTCTTCCTTCCTGATTGGTCTATTCATCTCCTTTGAGTACCTCTTGCCTCTAACTTCATGCCCTAGAGAATAAATTATGGTTTCTCCTGATCTCAGACATCTCATATAGCTTTGAAAACCACCAATCATCTCTCCCAAGCCCCAGATGGAGTATATACAAATAATATTTACACATGAAGGTAAAACGCCTCTCCTCAGCTCAGCAGGCTCACAACGAAACCTAGAATTTTCCATCCCCAAAACATCACGTTTGCAATATTCAGTCTCAATTGGTGAAACCTACAGCCTTCTACTTGCTTGGGTTAAAGACCTTGTAGTCATTTTAGAGCCTTTCTTTCTCAAATGCCAGACATCCAATCTGTCAGAAAATTGTATGGACTCTGACATCAACTACTCCTCACCCTATCCACTGCCACTACCTTTGTGCATGACATCATCTCTCACCTAGGTGACTGCTGTAGCTTCTTCTGTCAACCCCTGATTCTCCACTGTCTACCCCCAACATAGCAATTCGTGTGTTTCTTTTTTATACTGAGGTCAGATCATATAAATTCTTGGTTTAAAATTATATAACAGATCTCCATTTCACTCAGAGAAAAAGCCACAGGTCCTATATTATCTGACTTTTTTCCAACTATTCGCACCCTTACTCATCTTTCTTGTCATCCATGACTCCCCAATCCTCCTTAAAATAACCAGGCACTTTCTTGACTGTGGCCTTTTTTTACCTACTTTTCTCATTGTGAACTCTGCTCCTAGACAACAGGTTCTCAAAATATGGTTACCATTCCCATAGCATCAGCATCACCTGAGAACTTGGCCGAACTACAAGTTCTCACTCCTCCTGCAGACTTACACCATCAGGAACTCCAGTTGGGGCCCAGAAATTGGTGTTTTATGAAGCCAAATAGGTGCTGTTTACAGAAGTTGATAACTCTACTCTAGACATCTACATGAGTAACTTCCTCATTTCCTTTGGATCTTTGCTCAGATGTTACCTTCTGCATGCGGCCTACTTCAATGACCCTATTTATATTGCATCCTCTGTTTTTTCCCTAGCACTCAACTATTTACTGTACTCTGTTCTCCTATTTCTTATTTTTCATCACCCATGTGACCTTCTAAATTTTATAAAATTTACTTTTTATTATGTTATTGTTTGTCTCATCCACTAGACTATAAACTCCATGAAGGTAGTAATCTTTTTATGTTACATTCATCAATAATACCTAAGTGTCTCAAAGAATCTGACACAATATATGTAGGTACTTACTAAATATCTATAGAACTAAATGAATGGGTGAATTGAACTTACTTGGTATGGGCAATGGGGACAATCATACAAGTAAAGCAGGCCGAACTAGCAGGCAGGAATCCTCTGACAGTTGGAGGTCACAGGCTTGAATACATAATTAACAAGTGTCATCACATTTCATTGTTAAGGGGTGCTAATGTAAAATGTATATGTATATTGACACCCCTGACATTGGGTACATTTTATGGAAAGTAGGATCCATCCAGGCAACCTGACCACTGTCCATGTCCACCTTCTTTTCTACTATAGAAAAGTAGTAGAAAAGATGGAAAAATTCAGGTTGCTGTCCTGTGCTTTCAACTGTAGTAGAGTAGGAGGGCTAATGGTTCCGAATGCCTTGGGTGGAGGTGGACAGGGCAACTTGAGTCAGTACAATGGATGCCTTTTCACACATGCACTTAAAAAGTGTCCCAAATAAAAGCAAGGTAACTTAAAAAGAGAAAAAAAAAAAGATATGGGAGGACATTCCACTTACAAAAAGTTCCTGCTTTGTACCAATCCCAGTACTGAGTGCCAACATTTAACATTTAAGATATGGCCCAAAGTCAATGAAGCATCTTGGGGTTACCATCAAAACCACAGAACACTACAGGTATATGTGCAACAGAACACAGAAACCTCTGCTAAATTGTAATTTCTACTACAAATTTATTCTGAAGAAGGTATATAATTTGAATGATATCTAATCATAAGAACAATGCCAAAAAACACAGGACTAAGTGAACCAGATCAATTTCCTGCCATTTAAAAATTTCAGCACAGTGTGTTTCTTTGTGAATATCAAATGGTGGCCCTTTTATTGCCTTATAAATACTTTAAGTAGTTGTTTCTGAGATTGACTTATGTAATGAAAACCACATCTATTAAGGATGGAAAAAGACCTCCTAGAATCCCTACCATATAAATGATGGTTACATGACTATCATTCTGCACTTTAGGCTCTGAACCATCTAATAGATTTAGTCTAGTATAACAATCAAAACAGTTCAGGGAAATGAGGAACTATCACAGGGATTACTGTTCTTACATTGCTCAGTGTATTGGAGTCTTGATGCTTGTTTGCATTTGCTTGGAATAAGTGTCTAAGGGAAAATTAAGTTCTAAGCCGAGGCTACTATTTGAAATCCCAGAAAGGGCTCCTGGGACTAGTTTGGCTTTTTTGTGACAATAGATTTCCTGATGAAGTACACCATTCCCTAATGAAAAAGACCTGGCACTGTTTCATATGCTAAAATTTGACCAATGTGAGGAGTGTGATGATTGGTTTGGGAATGAGTGTTTTAATAAAAGAAACATGAAATTGGTTGTGCTTTGGCAGGACATACCCCAAGCCATCATGAGAACAGTTATCCTGGCCCACAGATGATCCCTACCCAAGCCACAACTGTGCAAGTTCCCACTCACATCGCTGACAATGCTGGCACAGAGACAAAGACATAATCCAAATGTAGTCATGTTGGAGTCTGCTTCATTGAAGTCATATGAAAAACAAACCAACTTCCCACCTCCTCTCACAGCCCCCTCCCAAAAAAACCCCCCAAACCTACCATGGAACAGATCTGAGATTCTGCAGTCTCAGATTTCTAAGCAAGTGGATAAACAGGGGCAGGAAAACAGCAATCACAGAAGGAAAGGGCAAATTTCAGAATAACGGCACAGTCAAATGTGGTAAATGTGAACAAAAAATGCTTCAAAAAGTGAACATTGAATTATCCAGCTTGGGATTGTCTAATACTTTCACTAGAACAACACACCACAGTTCAGGAGGAGATAACATTTGCATTTAACTACATTTTATGAAAAGATACTCAAGCAGCAAGTTTTTACTGCATTGGAAATATTGAAGTTTACGTATTCATTAGTAAAAAGTAGTGTGTGTTACCCGCATGAATGCTTGGTGTGTTCTACACTTAGCTCCTTTGCTGGATACTTGTATGCTTCCTGTAATCACGTCAGAAGTTCCATTAGAAGAAAAATAAAATCTTGATGGAGATTCTGCCTTTCTGTTCACATCCAAGCTCATGTTATAAAACAAAACTGCAAAAGTATGGGAGAAAGCTAATTAATATAAGTAACTATCTAAAGCAGCTATTATTTTTGAGGTGATAATACTCAGTTATATAGCATATGGGAAAGACCTTAAGTTCTCTTTATTAGTCAGCTTTTAAACTAACCTGAAATATGAAAAAGTACTAAAAACAAATTTAAAAACTTATTTTTATAAATAAAAAAGGATTACAAACTTCTAAGTTTCCATTATTAACCTCTTAATACCTTTAGTTATTTGGTTAATTCTATGTGTAAAAGTTTTAAAATTGCAGTATCAAAAGTCCTTTTGTCCACACAATGTCTGATTAAGGAAGTACAGCAGAGCTCTATGCTAAAGTCACTTGGAAGGAATTTATCTTGTTTGGTTACATGAACAATTCCATATGTAGTTAGGTTCATATATATCTGTGAATTTTCCAATTCGAGGAATTGCTATTTTCTTTTGACTTATTTATAGATATATAAAATGAACACATGGTTCATAATTCAATCCTATGTAAATGGTTTACTCAAAAAATGTCTTCTTTTCCAGTCCTATTCCCTGATTATTTGTCCTCTATGTTTTTACTGATTTGTAGTTTGACCTTCCAGTGTTAATTTGTGATATATATATAGTGTGTATATATATACATATTTACATAAACATTCGCTCAAATATTCTAGTGGTTTGGAAGTATTTATTTCAATCTAACAGAGTAAACATTCACCTGCAAAACAAGTTCTTCAGATAGGCAAAAAAAAGAAAAATTTACAAAGCACAGAAAACTAAGTCAGTTCTCACCAAGAAAAAAACATTTCCTGAATCTAAATGGTTTCCTGGCAAAGCTAGCTCAATTTAAGTCTGCTGAGTTGCCACTCATTAAATAGGAGCAATAATTCATAAGTGATATTTTAAGGACCTAGATAATTCATGGAATGCTCATTTGTATTTTAACAGCAACTCACTCTTCTGGAAATATTTTCTCTACTTAGTCAAGGAAACACAAGCATAAAACCTGTGTTACTCTTACGTATTTCAAAAAATCTTTCAACCATTGTTTTATTTAGAAAATAAAGCCCAAGCCAATTGACTTCAAAATTATAGTAACTAAGATTCAATAACTCAGAGCAAGAGAGTTGCAACTGAAACAGGCATCTACAAATTCTTCATTCCAGGGGCTGAATAGCAACCCACTCCCATGTGACTTATTTTTACCAAGGAATCATTTTATGACAATTATAAAACATGTTTCTATAATTATGAAGTTCATATATATTTAAAAAACATCTGGTAAAGTATTTCAGCAGTCCAAGAAGTCCTGACTTTACATATGGGTAATATCCCTATCCATTCAATGTGTATCTTTCAGCTTATCTTTGTTAATGTGTAACTTACTCTGGGGTCATGTTTCTGCTTCCAAGGCACCAGCTCTCTAATCAATAACTGGGTGAAAGCTTTGCCCACCCTGTGGTTACTGTAGGTCCGACCAGGACTTTTCTACAGCACTATTAAAAATGAGTCTCATAAAACAGAGATACCAGGCTCATTCTTTCCATCACATTACAAGTTAATTCAGACTGAGACCTCTATCACATATCCATAGTTTGATTCAATAAGATTTACCATGCTTCATGATGCTAGGATGACAACAACCTGTAAGGTTGTGAGCACAATCAACACGATTTTTGTGTGAGGTCAGGCATATTGTGAACTACTAGTAACCAGGTGATGAACCCAGGTGAGTCTCTCTCCTACCATGAGCTAATTTCACTGGGATAGTCTAATACTATCTTAAATGTTATATAATCAATAACATTGATCTGTCAGCAAGAAAGTAATTCATATAAAGCTGCATATTTGATTTGGGATTAACCACATATTGGATGAGTCATATCAATGTACTTTCTTCATAGCTGACAGTTTCCTACATACAAGGAAATGGTAAGGGATCTCAGGAGCTGCTATTACATTATTATGATATATATCCATAATATATACACGTATATGTACTTTAGAATTGGGGTCTAGACTCAAGATAAGCTTCTCCAATTAAACAATACAGAACATATTTAAAAAGGAATTTTCTGTCTCTCAAGCCTCCCACCCTAAGCCAGACCCAGGTTTTATGAAGCACCTGCCGTGGCCAGGGATATGGCTCAGTGGTACAACACTTGCTCAGCATCTGTGAGACCCTGAGTTATATCTCCACAAAATGAATGAATGAATGAATAAATACCTCAGTTAAGCAGAGGAATCATGGTGAAACTCTTTCTAGACTAAAGAGATTTCACAGATTAGGCTCAGTGGGTTTACCTTAAAATAATACAGCAAGTGAAACTCTTGTTTCCTGATACAACTTCTAAACAAGTACAGCCTCCTATGTACCCAACTCATTGGTTAGAACACAACAATCTAAAGAAGACCTCTATGGTGACAAACAGTGAGGACTCAAAAGATGACAGCAAGAGTAATGAGTGAACAGGCATTGGTTCCTGCAGGGCACACTTACCAATATAGCCTGGAACCTCTTTGCCTTTATATGAAAAACAGAGTGTTAGATCCATGCACACAGAAGGCAATCCATTTTCAGTACAGTCAAATTTTGTTCTATTTACTGACTCAGGGTGAATTAAAGATGCTTCAACAATCACTACAGGCCTTGCCCTAAGAAGGAAATCAAATCAGCAATATTAATTGTAGGATTATTTTTCCTTAAGAAGAAGATAATTGCACTTGTTTTGTCAGTTTCCATTGACCAACTAATTTCATTAATCTGCTTTATTAATAGTATGTGCATACACACTCAATTACATTTCTGTGCACAGATCAAGAGAAATTTTCATTTAAATATCTAAGAACATTGACTTTATCTGATTATATATGTATATATATATATACAAGGTGGGAAAAATGCCCTAAAGTTCAATAATTAAACTTCAGGATATCAAAAGAAGCATCATGAGGCCACTACCACTGCAGCTTTCAGAAACTGCCTCTCATCATTTACAATTAAGTCCAATTCTCATTAACCAGTGAAATATATCAACCCTACCTTAGCAACACAGCAGAATCAGACCGAAAAGCACCAACTGCTACATCTGGAGGATAAAAAAACAACAAGCCAGATTAATGATCATCATTAGTCAAAGAGAATTACTTCTCAGCCATAAATACTTAACTGCATATCACCTTTTGACTATATCAAAACACTATTTGCAGAAAATTAATTAGAAAAGACAGGACAGCATCTTAAGAATCACTCCACATTTGTTTGAATCTACTCACTTATGGTGACATTCATCCCTTCTTAATAGAACATAACAAGCATTATGATATAAACCTATGATAAGCTTGCTGAAATAAAATTCAATTTTTGTACTATAGGCATTTAGCCAAAATTTAAAAATTCATTTCAAAATTTAAAAATTCATTTCAAAATTTAAAAATCGTTTCTTCTTTCTGTTAATCATCATATTTGATTATTTTCCTGGGTGTTTTCATATTTTTTCACATGAACAAGGAATATAACATTAAGTAACTAAAAGTAAAAAGCTGAGGAATTATTTAATCATGTTCATCTTTGAAGAAAGCTTTGAAAATTCAGGGAAAAATATCATCAGTAAGCCAGATGCCAGTGACTCACACCTATGATCCTAGCTACTTGAGATTAGGAGGATCAAGGCCAACCTGGCAAATATTTCATAAGACCCCCATCTCCAAAATAACCACACCAAAAAATGGACTGGAAGTGCGGCTCAAGTGGCAGAGCACCTGGTTTGCAAGTGCATAGCCCTAAATTCAAGCCTCAGTCCAGCCCCCCCAAAAAAATCATCAGTAAATTGATGTCTTCCTTATCAGTTTTGTGTGTTCAACATAAAGTAGCATCCATCCACAACAGAGCTCATTCTAGTGTATGAAACATGGTACATTGTATACTCACCTATGTACCCATTGTTGTCTGCATCAATTTGTCCTGATATAGACTGTCCAAACATCCTTAATGAGTTACTGATTTGAAGGGCTTCAATTCTCTGAAAAATAGATAAGTGGGGTGGGAGGCAGATTTTGCCACAATGATTAGTTAAATAATGAGTCTTCCCAGGCATATCCTGGCACATTTACTAACAAAATACATTTTAGTTAAGTCAAATACTTGTAGAGAGACAAAATTTTCAGCTTGAAATGGGCAGTTAACATCTATTTTGTGACTAAAAAAATTATAAAGGGAAATTATGCGATTTTTCCAAAACAGTTCTTACTCCTTTCCTCAAGATTTTATAGGCTATGTATTTGCTTCCTTAGTCAACATAAATAAGTAAACAAGTTATTTGGAATACAGGATGTTTACGATCACTCATTGGATCCTAGTCATTGGACTTATGATGAAAGTCTTTTTATATAGCTAGATTGCTCCCTAGCATTAAGAGGAAAACCCAAGTCAGCTATCTGCCTCCTATTCTAATTTCATGTCCAGATACTGGTTTATCATATCAGGCTCCTAATCATAGTAAGAAAAATCAATATCTTTTATTGGACAAGCAAATAACTTTGATATTAAATGTAGAGAATCATTTACCCATTTTTGCCTAATCAAAAATAAGAATACTAGCTAATGTTTCTATTAAAATAACTTTGAAAAAAATTCTCTTCCCTGCATCTGATTGTAGGTTTTTCTGTGTGCTGGAATGTTCTGAGCTTTTAAGATACAAAAGTGAAGTCAGTATTTGATATGAACCTTTATTGAAATGCTACCATCTTACTGATCTATACTGAAAGAAACATGGTGTTATATGCAATCATATCCCTGTGCAATCGTCATGAAATATGAGGCTTTAACCACATGACAAAACACACTTAATCAAATCCAAATGGGCACACTTGAAATAATATGGCTATTTTACCTCAAGAACACAGATGAATGAAATACAAAGTGAAAAATCATTAATGGGCTAAAGACAAGCTAGAATGGAAATGAACCAGAATTTGTATCTATAAAAAAAGTGGTTTAAAGAGTTACTAATCCCTTAAAATAAGACAATGTACCATAATTATAAGAAAATATTGAAATAAAATGTTAAATAAAGTACAATAGTAAGTGTACATAATCACTGGAAGTGAGAAAGGAACTTCCATCACCAATTCTTTTAAACAGAGAACAATATCTTACCTGTGAAAAGGTGGATGAGATCCCATCTACTCGGCCATTGTAAATGTAAATGGCACCTCGCAAGTCATCTTCTTGGGGAGCACCAATAGCAACATCTATTAGAAGATTTAAATAGTGGGAAAAAAACTTCTTGATACAAAGAATGAGCTTTGAAAACTAACCTTCATGATTCTTAATTCATATGACATAAAAACTTCTTCTTATAAAGATAAGATAAAAGTAAATATTAACATCATCATCACAATGTACAGGATTATGCAGAATAGACTGTGCATGGAAAAAAGCAAAATGGATAGGTTTGAGGGTCTCTGTAACAGAATGGTTAAGGGAATAGGCTCCACACCACACAACTAGGTGCCCTCCCAGCTGTGCTACTGTGCTCAGTTGTGCTACAATGTGTCCATTTCTTAATCTCTGTGTCTCAGGTCCCTCACTCACAGAATGGGATCATAATAAAAAGCATGCATAAAAGGATGCAACTCATTCAATGATGTTTAGAACAGCATCTGGCATCTATTGTTATAATCTGTGTAAGAATCTTGATTTTTTGAGCTTCTAGGCTTTACTTGCAAAATGACTTTCATTTAATTCCTATTCCAATAAAAGTGATTGAGGTATGTGTTAGGGATATCTGTACACATAACACACACAGGACTTCACAAAATGGATTTGTGCTGTAAAATAATGACTTTACCACTTTATGAGTTTATTGAGATTCACATCAGATTATGTTACCAAAAGAAAAAACTGTGAACACATGTATAAAAACCCAAGAGAAAGAAATAGTGACCTGATTGCTTATGTGGTATAAATATATAACATAGAGGAAAAAATAATATTCTATGTTTGCAAGAGCACCTTTTTATTTTTTACCACATATGATGACTATTATCAATATATTTATTACATGCAATGTTTTTAACTTTAATTGAAACCTAAAGTGTAGAAAGTTTGTTTTCATGATATTACTTAGCATTGTTTAGCAAATCTACAATCTTTTTTAAGCAACTATAGTGGTAATTTTTGGCTGCTATTTCAATGGGAATAAAAACATCCTTGAAAAGTAACTCTATTAAATAGTGTACAATTTAAAAAATGTAAAAGCTTTTCTATTTTCATCCAGAAAGAAATGATAGATACCAATACTTACTTTGTTTGACATACCATGGCTAGCCTCTCAACTTGTGCAAACCATTTTAAACTTTTATATTCAAATACGTCTATTCCTTTGTTCACTCATTGGATAACTATTGAGAACCTTCTACACTCCAGGAAATACAGGGCAGTATCACAAAAAGGAACTCAGAATCTACTGCTGAGGAACAGCAAGTGAAAATAGAATAATACAGCACACAGAAACAAAGTGGTGGATATTTAGAAAGGCTTCTCATGGGTCGTGATGCCTGAGATGAAATGAAGGTCTTGATAGGTCTTAACTAGGTGAAGAAAGAGGAAATGCAGTTTAGACAGAGAGAAAAGGCTGAGCAAAGGCAGGGGAGAAAGAAACAGGATGGCATACATGAAAAATGGCAATTAGTTTAGAAGAGCTGAAACCAGAGTAGTGCCAACTGAATACACACAGGAACACAGCGGGCAGACGGGGAGGAGTAAAAGAGGAGGAAGATGAATGGCAGGGTGAGGAAGAAGTACCTTATAGTCATTAAACAAAAGACAATTAGCAATTTCATTAGTCAGGGCTGGGTTTATACTTCTACCATGTGGCCTAACCTCTAGTAATTACAATTCAATACTTTGATTCTTTGTAACAATGCATGTGAAAATAACAAGCCTGGGCTATGAAGTGGTTGATAAAGATATTCTTCACAGCACTAGTGATGTAAATTAAGGCAAATATCTTATAGCAATACTGATGGGCCTTTTCAGGTGAAATTCAAATAAGTCCCAGATCTGTGTTTTTTCAGTGCAGAGGACACTTGGATGTATTCCAACTTTGGCTAATATAGATACAAATTTCTACTCCTAGCATTATACTTGGTTTTAGCTATTGTTATAGAAAAGAGATTAATGCATTTGAAGTATACATGAAAATAATAAAATGGTTTTCCATGCCTCTGAATCTCAATTTGTGGCATATTGTAGAGGACTAATATATTTGATAACTATTTTTACTTTTCATTTAAACATTTATTTCAACCAAGTATAAGTCATAATTACTGGTATAAACATTATCATCTTTTTTGATTATTGTTTTATTATTCATATGTGCATACAAGGCTTGGGTCATTTCTCCCCCCTGCCCCCACCCCCTCCCTTACCACCCACTCCACCCCCTTCCTCTCCCCCACACCCCCTCAATACCCGGCAGAAACTATTTTGCCCTTATCTCTAATTTTGTTGAAGAGAGAGTATAAGCAATAATAGGAAGGAACAAGTGTTTTTGCTGGTTGAGATAAGGATAGCTATACAGGGAGTTGACTCACATTAATTTCCTGTGCGTGTATGTTACCTTCTAGGTTAATTCTTTTTGATCTAACCTTTTCTCTAGTTCCTGTTCCCCTTTTCCTATTGGCCTCAGTTGCTTTTAAGGTATCTGCTTTAGTTTCTCTGCGTTAAGGGCAACAAATGTTAGCTAACTTTTTAGGTGTCTTACCTATCCTCACCCCTCCCTTGTGTGCTCTCGCTTTTATCAAAACATAATCATCTTAAACACATGTATACACACACATATATATACATACTTATATATATATATATATATATATATATACACACACACACACACACACACACACATATATAAACTTACATATACATTCTTTCAATGATTGTATGTTTATAATGCTGGGAGAATTACCCATGTAACTCTCACAAAAATTCTTATCAAATAAATGATTTTGATCTCCACTTACAGACGAGAAGACTGAGGCCCTGAGTATAACTTGTTCAAGGTCAGGCCCCAGATATGGAGCAGTAAGGATTTAAACCCTGCAGTCTGACTCCTAGCCCTGTGCTAGGTGTCAAGACGTAGCCGTCAGCCAACTGAAATCAGCACCAAAGTTTACCCTCTTAGTACCCATTCCCATTCTATGTCAAAGCAATACTCACATCACAATGGGATCAGATGTTGATATTTATTTATGGGACACAACATACAGTAAATTATAGTAAAATATAGTAATTTACAGTTAAAGAACCTTAATATTCTCCTGCTCTCAAAATATTCAAACATAATTTAGAAGTCAGAAAATGAGTCTCAAGATAAAAAATAAAAACCAAACCAATAGTCTTGTCAAATCTATTTTGCTTATGAAATACAAAATGTTATCTTTCTATTGGTAATGTTACTTGTGTTGGGAAGTCTATCTACTTATTCCACAACTTTCTCACACTTTTGATGAAATTTTTACTGGTGACTTTTGCTAAACTGGTCATCTTAGAAAAAGACTTGCTTTTCCTTCTGAATAATAATAACAATGATAAAAGATACGACAAGTGTCAAAACAACTTAGGTTTGTTATGCAAAGCACCACAAAGTATTGTTAAATAAAAGGCATCAAGTGTGATTTGCCTCCAGTACTGAAAATGGAAGAAAAAAGAATAGGTGGGGTTTTCACTCCCCGTAAAGAAGCTTACAAGGCTGGGATGTAGCTCACTGGTACAGCACTTGTCTAGCATGCGTGAGGCCCTGGGTTCGATCCCAGCACCAAAAAAAAAAAAAAGACAAAAAAAAACCTCTCCCCAAAAAGAAGCTTACAGTCCTTGCCATGAATACAATGCATCTTCAGAAAAATAAGATAAAATGGAGGGATACAGTAACAAAATACATCAGGAAAACTAATAAGTACATGCCCTGCTGTTCATCCAGACAGACATGTCTTAATTCTATTTTCCATTTGATTATGAAACTATTTGAAAAAGTTGTCATTATTTCCTTCATTTCATTAATTATCATGCATACTCTATAGCTGGTATGATTCAAGTGACACAAAATAAATGCCCAATAAATATCACAGAATTGTATGTGTTAACAGTAATCATAAGAAAATGCTTTACGATAAAATGTTATGTGTATTCATAATAACCAAAAAGTATCTACATGTATATTTTTTCTTTCACTTTTGAAATAAAAATTGTAATATATACACATACTAAATGACATTATTTACCTTTGAGATGGTACATTGGAAGCATATATTCAACAACTTTCTTTTTTTGCAGAATAATGTGTTTTAAAGAAGACTGAGGAGTTTGGATATAAGAAGAAATTGAAGGGGAGCATTGATAGCATTCCTTTGCTTATTTTTAGTATCCAAGTAACCTTAAGCCTAATATAGTCATATGTTAAGTTCCAATGACTATATCAAGAAGACACACTTCTGAACCCTGAAAATAAGTATCAAATACTTATTTGCCAATTCTATAGAATTACTGAACTTTAGGAAATTGCACACACTCCTCTCAAACCCTTTCATCAGACTTGATTACCACTCGGTACTAAATTGGAAAAGCAAAATGTTGAGAAGGAATGTGGGCAGAGGTAGGGCTGATGTCTAGGGCAACATGCATGGTTAACACAGTACCAACTATTCAACTATTGAAATATTTCAACATCAGTTGGTAAATAGCTGTTGTTCCTGCATCTCCTTTGTGCCCCTCACCACTGTTTGGGACATTCTTCTGGAATGCCCTAATCCTCCAGTAAGGCAGCAGCTGCACAAGGAGAGTGTCACAGCAGGGACTTCCAGAACCTGCCCCAGTACTGAGCCTTGTGTACTGATAAATACCACTGTCTAATAAATCTATTTTATGCACACCCCTATGTTTTATTTCTGAAATCATGATCCTTCTTAAAATAGAAAAAATGCTGGGTGCCACAATTTAGTGGGAAGCATTTTTAGGGGCACCTAAAGTAATAAAGCAACTTATCAATGGTGCCTTAGAATCAGGGGATGGGAAAGAGGGAGAACAATGGAGGGGTTCTTCCAAATGAGGATATACTATATGCATATATACGGAAATGTCACAATGAACCCCCCTCCCATACAACTATTATAAACTAATAAATGCTTTAAAAAGAATCAATTAAACAAGGTATTTTGAATATTATCCCTAATTAAAATGATAACGATCAATACCTGAGAATTGAAGTCAGATACAATACTAAAAAAGAAGAAAGATAGTACACCATTCTGGCTCCATTTTCAATAGAAAACCAAATAACAAAAAACTCCAGTCATATTCTTTTCTATGAATCATTTTAAAAGTGGAAATAAAATATGAAATTAGATACTTTCAATTACCTTCAAAGCCATCATTGTCAATGTCCCCAAGATTAACTATGGATTCTCCAAATCTTGCAGCATATTTGTCACTTCCAAGGAGCACTGTTTCCATTTCATTCATTACTGCTCCCTAGTTAGAAAGGGAGAGAAAGGTGTCATTGTAAAACTCCCTGACAACTTTACATGCGATGTACTGCTATAATTGGATATGGATTTTTCTAATGCATCAAACAAGTTGGACAAACTATAGACTGAACTTTAGTACACACACCTCAGTTCAATTCAACAAATATTTATTGAGTATGTCAACATGTATAACAGTATGATTAGAGCTCAGAGGACATTAAAAAAAACTCATGATCCCTAGCATTGAAAATCCAATAAATCATTTTGATAATTCAATTTAACAAATATTTATTGAACTCTAACTAATGGCAATATACTGTGCAGAGTGAAGAGGGGAAAGGGAACAAGTCAGTGTGTGCATAAGACATACTCTTCCTCCAAAATCTCAGTTGCCTGGAGAGCTTAGTGCAAGCATAGAAATGACTGAGAAGGACAAACTGCTTTGCATTAATACAAGGCAAGGAAAAAAATAATTGAAACAAGGAAAAAATGTCAATAACAAGAAACAAGGAAAGATTATCTGGGAGAGATTTTGTAAAGAAGATAGGTATTGAAAGAAAAATACAATTCTGATATACAGGAAAACCTATCAGCAAAACAAATTCCAAAGGATTTGGATTTAATAAGTGATGCAGATAACAAATGAGACAACAAAATCAAACTGCAGTCTTCTGGCACAGCAATTTGATTCTGGAGGAAATTTTACTCTTGATGTAGTGAATAGGAAGCCACTGAAGATTTCTGAGTTGAATGACATGATTGAAGGTGGCCTTTAAAAACATTATCCCAGCAGTAATGGAATGTGGATTAGTCAACTGGAATCTCAGCAGTTGGGACATGAGTTATAAAATGTTCAATACTGTTGCAATAATAAGCTATTACAAAAACAGCTATCATTCCTTTTTACAATCTCTCATTGGGAGTCCCCTGTGTTGAAATCCATGCACTAATCATAAATCCTTTCTTATCAAACAAATCTATGTCATTCCCTAAGCATACATGTGTTCTTCTTTGTATGAAGTGCCCTTCACCTTTTATTTTCTAACTGGAAAACTTCTATTTTGTCTTGCTCAAATAGTACTTCTGCTATGAAACCTTCTTGGCCCAAAGTGAATTGCTTCATCTACTTTGAATGTAGTTATCATGTGCCATTTGCCATGTCAGTTTCCACTGTTTACTCGTACATTGGAATCTCCACCAGATCCTGAGATCCTGGAGGTCAGTACTAAGATTACCCTCAACTCTTTTCAGCCTTTGTTACATTCTAGATATTCACTAAATGTCACTTATTTTATTCTAAATGAACAAAGATGACAGATGTATCTCTATAAACATAATCACTGTCACCAAAACAGTCAGTGGGGAGGATCCAAAATGGTGACTGGGTCACAGACGCAGACTGCGTGAGCTCCATGAATCAGGGACCTTGCTGAGATGCTGGAGACACACGTGGCTGAGGTAAAGCACCAGGGAGAGCTGAAACTTTGGCACCTTGAACCCCTAGCCCATGGAATGTTTCTCCACACCATGATACACTGAAAAGAATAGGTGGGCCACCACCCCACACTGTTGCTGCCCACCTGCTGGCACACTGGCCATGGCCCTGCAGACCCACCAGCCCACCAGGCCTGCTAGGCTGCCGCCCACTAGGCCACTGCCTGCCCACCAGCCTGCTGGCACACCAGCTGCCACCCACCACGGGAGGGCTCCAACACCACCAGACGCAGGCTCCAAACCTACCTAGGAGATGCAAGCAAACAGGACTGGATGCTAAAGGAGTAACACCAGAACTACTAAGACTAAAATTCTACTGTTCCTGAACTGGGGATTTTTTTTCTTTTTTCTTTTTTTTTCTTTTCTTTAAGTGTTTGTTTGTCTTGTTTGCTGTTTGATTGTCCACCATCTCTCCCTGTTGATTTCTTTGGTTCTCCTTTTCTTTTTCTTTCTTTTCCTTTTTCCAATTTCTCATTCTTTCTTGATTTTGTTAGTTTTACTATTGTAAGTTAGCTAATACTAAATTACACATAGACCAAGCACAGAAACAGGACCAAATGGAATGATGGGAAGATGAAAAAGGGATGGAAACCATTCTCTCACCAAAAATAAAGTAGTACCAGATTCAGAGAGAAATGAAGAAAATGGATACCCAGATCCAGACTCCAACAAAACAAAGATAAACTATATCAAGGAATCCAATGAAGCCCACAAGAACAACCTGAAAGAAGAAATCCTGCAAGTAATCAATGAGAATTTCATAGAGATGTTACTAGACATGATCAACCAAAACATACAGGAAGCACTCAAGAAATTCCAGGACAACAAAAATAAAGAATATGAGAAAACACAAAAACAAATAAATGAAATCATAGGAGCCCTAAATAAACACCAAAGTGAAACAGAGAACACCATAAATAAAGAGATAAATGAATTAAGGACAAAAATTGACAATATTAAAGAAGTGACCCATGATATGGAAAACCTCAGAAAAAAGGATGAAACAGAAATGCAAAACAAAATGAAAGGCCACTCCAGAAGACTAGAACAAGCAGAAGACAGAATCTCAGAACTTGAAGATGAAATGGAAATTAAAGGAAAAACTGAAGAACTATAGTCAGACAAGACCTGTGAAAGGAATATGCAAGAACTCACCAACTCCACCAAAATACTAAACCTGAGAATTATGGGCATTGAAGAAGAGGTGCAAGCAAAAGGAATGCATAATATATTCAACAAAACAATAACAGAAAATTTCCCAGATCTAGAGAAACTATGCCCATTCAGGTACAGGAAGGCTCCAGGACACCAAACACACTTGACCAAAATAGAACTACCCTACAACATATTATCATTAAAACAACAAGCACAGAGAATAGAGAAAGAATATTGAGGGCCGTAAGAGATGAAAAACAAATAACATACAAAGGTAAACCCATCAAAATCACAGCAGATTTCTCAATGGAAACCTTAAAAGCAAAAAGGGCATGGAATGAGGTATTCCAGGCACTGAATGCAAATAACTTCAACCCTAGGATACTCTCCCCAGCAAAACTATCATTCAAAATAGATGGAGCAATGAAAGTCTTCCATGATAAGCAGAAACTAAAACAATATATGACCACAAAACCACCACTACAAAAGATTCTTCCAGGAATTCTGCACACAGAAAGTGAAAGCAAACAAAACCATGAAAGGGCAGACAGTACCAAACCACAGGAGAAGAAAAGGCAAGAAAGTAGAGATTAACATTGATTCAACTGTGCACAATCAAATCCTAACCAATAAAGACAACTAAATGACAGAAATTACCACATACCTATCAATACTAACACTGAAAGTTAATGGACTTAATTCCCCCATCAAAAGACACTGTTTGGCAAACTGCATTAAAAAGGAAGATCCAACAATCTGCTGCCTATAGGAGACCCACCTCATCGACAGAAATAAGCACTGGCTGTGGGCGAAAGGGTGGAAGAAGATCTTCCAAGCCAATGGCCCCCCAAAACAGGTAGGGGTAGCAATACTTATCTCGGACAAAGTAGACTTCAAGCTTACATTGATCAAACGAGATAAAGAAGGACACTCCATACTAATAAAAGGGGAAATACACAAAAAGGGAATAACAATCATCAACTTATATGCACCCACCGTCAATGCACCCAATTTCATCAAACATACTATAAAGGACCTAAAAACATATAGACTCCAACATAGTGGTAGTGGGAAACTTTAACACCCCCCTATCACCAATAGATAGGTCATCCAAACAAAAAAAAAATCAATAAAGAAATTCTAGAACTAAATGACACCAAATCTAGAACTAAATGACATCAAATGGGCCAAGCTGATGTCTACAGAATATTTCATCCAACTTCTGCACAATATACATTCTTCTCAGCAGCTCACAGAACCACCTCCAAAATTGATCTCATCTTAGGGCACAAAGCAAGCCTCAGCAAATATAAGGAAACAGAAATAATCCCATGCATTCTATCTGATCACAATGCATTAAAACTAGAAATCAACAACAAAAACAGCAGTAAAAAACATGCAAACAACTGGAAGCTGAACAACACATTGCTCAATGATCAATGGGTCATTGATGAAATAAGAGAGGAAATTAAAAGGTTCCTGGAAGTTAATGAAAATGAAAACATGACCTACCTGAACCTATGGGACACTGCAAAGGCAGTCCTAAGAGGAAAGTTTATATCCATGACTGCATATATTAAAAGGACAGAAAGATCTCAAATAAATGACCTAATGCTACATTTCAAACTCCTAGAAATACAAGAACAAGCAAATCCCAAAACAAACAGAAGGAGAGAAATTATAAAAATAAGGGCTGAATCAATGAAATAGAAACAAAAAAAAACCATACAAAGAATCAATGAAACAAAAACCTGATTCATTGAGAAAATAAATAAGACTGACAGACCCCTGGCAAACATGACGAAAATGAGGAGAGAAAAAACCCAAATCAGTAAAATCAGAAATGCAAAAGGGGAGATAACAACAAACACCACAGAAATCCAGGGAATCATCAGAGACTACTTTGAGTACCTGTATTCTAATAAATTCGAAAATCTTGAAGAAATGGACAGATTTCTAGGTACTTATGATCATCTAAAACTTTACCAAGAGAACATTAATCACCTGAATAGATCTATAACACAGAATGAAATTGAAGCAGCAATAGTCTCCCAAAAAGAAAAGTCCAGGACCAGATGGATTCTCTGCTAAATTCTATCAGACATTTAGAAAAGAACTGATACCAACCCTCCTTAAACTGTTCCACAGAATAGAAAGGGAAGGAACACTGCCTAACTCATTTTATGAAGCCAAGATTACTCTCATCCCAAAACCAGACAAAGACACCTCCAAGAAGAACTATAAGCCAATCTCCTTAATGAACATCGTTGCAAAAATCATCAATAAAATAATGGCAAACTGAATCCAACAACACATCAGAAATATCATACACAATGACCAAGTTGGCTTTATCCCAGGACTGCAGGGGTGGTTCAACATATGCAAATCTATAAATGTAATACAGAACATTAATGGAAGCACAAGCAAAAATGACTTGATCATCTCAATGGATGCATAAAAAGCCTTCTCAATGGATGCAGAAAAAGCCTTCAACAAGATTGAACACCACTTTATGATAAAAGCTCTAAGAAAACTAGGAATAGAAGGAATGTACCTCAACATTGTACAGGGTATATATGACAAGCCTATAGCCAACATCATACTTAATGGTGAAAGACTGAAACCATTTCCCCTAAAATCAGGAATGAGACAAGGGTGCCCCACTATCCCCACTCCTATTCAACATAGTCCCAGAATTCCTAGCCAGAGCAATTAGGCAAGAAGAAGAAAGAAAAGGAATATAAATAGGTAAAGAAACTGTCAAAATATCCCTATTTGCAGATGATATGATCCTATACCTTAAAGACCCAAAAAACTCTACCCCAAAACTCCTAGACACCATAAACACCTATAGCAAGGTGGCAGGATACAAAATCAACTTACAGAAATCATTAGCTTTTCTACATACCAATAATGAACAAACTGAGAAGGATTATATAGAAACAATTTCATTTACAATAGCCTCAAAATCAAATACCTAGGAGTAAACTTAACAAAGGATGTGAATGACCTCTACAAGGAGAACTAAAAACCCCTGAAGAAAGAGACTGAGGATGCCAACAGAAGGTGGAAAGATCTCCCGTGCTCATGGATTGGTAGAAGCAACATAGTAAAAATGGCTATACTACCAAAAGCAATCTACATGTTTAATGCAATTCCCATCAAAATCCCAATGACTTCATCACAGAGATTGAAAATTCTACCCTAAAGTTCATTTGGAAACACAAGAGACCATGAATAGCCAAGGCAATACTCAGCAAAAAGAGCAATGCTGGAGGTATCACAATACCCAACTTCAAACTATATTACAAAGCTATAGCAATAAAAACAGCATGGTACTGGCACAAAAACAGACATGAAGACAAGTAGAACAGAATAGAGGACCTGGATATGAAGCCACACAACTGTACCCACCTTATTTTTGACAAAGGTGCAACAAATATATAATGGAGAAAAGACAGTCTCTTTAACAAATGCTGCTGGGAAAAGTGGTTACCCACCTGCAAGAAACTGAAACTAGATCCATGTTTATCACCCTGTACTAGTATCAACTCAAAATGGATCAAGGACCTTAATATCAGATCCAAAACTCTGAAGTTAGTACAGGAAAGAGCAGGAAACACTCTGGAAATAATAAGTATAGGCAAGGACTTCCTGAAAAGAACCCTAGCAGCCCAGCAACTAAGAGAAAGGATGGACAAATGGGACTACATAAAACTAAAAAGCTTCTGCACAACAAAAGAAATGATCTCTAAACTAAAGTTTCTCCACAGAGTGGGAGAAAATATTTGCCAACTATACATCAGATAAAGAACTGATAACTAGAACATACAGCGAACTCAAGAAACTAAACTCTCCCCAAATCAATGAACCAATAGAGAAATGGGCAACTGAATTAAACAGAGCTTTCTTAAAAGAAGAAATTCAAATGGTCAAAAAACACATGAAAAAATGCTCACCATCTCTGGCCATAAAGGAAATGCAAATCAAAACCACACTAAAATTCCACTTTACCCCTGTTAGAATAGCCATCATCAAAAACAACACCAACAACAGGTACTGGTGAGGATGTGGGGAAAAAGGAATGATTGTACACTGCTGGTGGGAATGCAAGCTAGTGCAACCACTCTGGAAAAACTTTGGAGGCTTCTTAAAAATCTAAACATAGATCTGCCATATGATCCAGCAATCCCACTCCTGGGGATATACCCAAAGGATTGAGACTCAGGTTACTCCAGAGGCACTTGCACACCCATGTTTATTGCAGCACTATTCACAATAGCCAAGTTATGGAAACAGCCAAGATGCCCCACTACTGATGAATGGATCAAGAAAATGTGGTATTTATATACAATGGAATTTTACTCAGCCATGAAGAAGAATGAAATCTTATCATTTGCAGGTAAATGGATAGAACGGGAGAACATCATTCTGAGTGAGCTTAGCCAGGCTCAGAAGACCAAAAATTGTATGTTCTCCCTCATATGCGGACTTAGATCTAGGGAAAATACAGCCATGTTGTTGGACTTGGGTCACATGACAAGGGGAGAGCACATATGGAAGGTATGAGGATAGGTAGAAAACCCTAAACATGAAAGCATTTGATGTCCCCACTCCAGAGGAACTAATACAGAAACCTTAAAATGACAGAAATCAACATGAGAAAGGGATCAGGAACCAGTGTAAAGATCAGTTAGAGATGAATCAACTTGGGATGTAACACATTAGTACATGGAAGCAATACTAGGAATCTTTCTGTATAGCTATCCTTAACTCAACTAGCAAAAACTCTTTGTCTTTCTTACTATGCTTATAACTTCTCTTCAACAAAATTAGAGACAAGGACAGAACAGGTTCTGGCTGGAAACAAGGGAGTGTGGTGGGGTGATGGTGGGGGTGGGGTCAAGGGGGAGAAATGGCCCAAACAATGTATGCACATTTGAATAAATGAATTTTAAAAACCACCTACTTGTACATTGCCCCATAAAATTAAAAAGATAAAATAAGTTGTACAAAAAAAAATTCATCTTCTGATTATAGCAGAAATAAAGATAATTTGTTTAAAAAAAAAAACAGTCAGTGATTCAAATGAGTAGGGGATAAAAGAACGTGGATCATGGGGAAATGTCCAAGAGAATGGAAATGAGCCTCCATGGAGGACAGATGGAGGGCACACTTAACACAATGCAGTTCTAAGAGAAGACTTTGAAGACAATTGGTAATCACTTGTCGTTAAGTATTCTCCAGTCATAGAGTACAGTGACCAAGAAAACACTGGGGATCCTTGAAAGCTGTTTTAGTAGAATTAGGTGAAGTTTGAGTCCATTCAAAAATAATTTCAGAGCACCTACTTGTCCAGAGTACTCCCTAGCCTTGAGGGAACAGCAGTAAATAAGACAGACAATTCCTCTCCATATGGTGTCTACAGTCCAGTAGAACAGACAACAGCAAACCAGGTAAATATATACATTACACCATTTGGTGGTTAGTGGGTTGATGCAATTTCAGAGCATTAAGACGGAGGACATTAGATGCAAAGAAAGGAAGATCAATCTATGCTAAAGGTTTTTAAATCGATTACTAAATTAGCTCTAGCATTTAACAACAGTATTTCCCTGTTAGTCTGACAGGGTAAAAAAAAAAAAAAAAAGAGGCTGCAAGGCTCCTCCCTTGCTTTTTAAGCAAAAGAGTTCTCCTCTTATCTATATTTTGTCCTGGAATGGTTTAAGATTTCAATTGAAAAAAAAAAGTTCCCATGCTGTTTTATTTTAGGCATGTATGCTACTGCTTAAACTGTTCTAAAAATGCTGTTATGAAGAGAAAAATAAGACACATTTGCAGCAGGAATATTTACCAAATATAAGGAAGATAATTTATGGACAGGGAAATGTGAAATGTCTATGGAAGAAACATTAGAAAGAGTTACCACTATTAATGAAAGTTTAATGATCACTGTGCAGACAATATGCCTTTACTATTTAAGTTAAAAGAAAGCCTAGGAAATCTGAACGCTTGAATAACATCTCTCTCTTTAGAGCTTTGAAACTTTCCCAGCTTTGTACGACTAAAGTGTTTTCTCTCTTAAGTTGTGCAGAGTTTAGTCTGATGTTTAGAACAGGAATTGATTAAATGCTCTAAATACTTTGATTAAATAAAATTACAAGTATCTTTTTGAAACAGATTTTACTTCATTGAATCCTGACTGAATGATACTGTGCCATACGAAATGAATCAGTTTTCTTACAAGTCTGTTCTTGTTTTCAAAAAGAACAGGCCAAGAAGAGCCCATTAAGGTGCTATCAATTCTCTGTTTTAATATCAAGAAGTAAGGGTGGTGAGATAAATCCAGCAGAATCTTTAAATAGAATTATCAAGTCATCAGTTTCTACTAAAAAATATTGCCCATGATTTTAAAATGGAACCATTGTCAGCCACTACTTATTTAAGCAATTTATATATCTGCTTTGGAATAAATCATGTCAATTTCATAGTGTTATCAAGAATATACTGCACATGAATTATGCATTAACATTTTATCAAAGCACCTTTGTTCTAATTGTTTTCAATTCAAGAAGTTGAAATTCTCTTCTACTTCAAGTAATATATTATAATTTACTAAATTATATAAGGACCCTAACTATAGAACTGTTTAAGAGTCCACATTTTGGAAAATATATCTATATATTGATCTATACATAGATATGTATATTAGATTTGTGTCAAAGCTAAAAATTTCAAGTATTAGAGTGAACACACACAAGCTATGAACAGAAAAACTCCATTAGCATTTACTCATTTCTGGTATATTCAAGTGCAGAAGCTGCCCATCTATCACATGATCCATTTCACTTCTAGAGCATCAGTACAATGCCACAATTTCTACTTTTGTCCACAAAATAAGCTTGAGAATCTAACGTCACAGAACTCTGGATCAACATCAGTTTCAATCATAATTCATAAGTGGATTCCCAAGTGCAAGCAATCAGACCTACCACTCCAGAGTTGATGTACACAAACACCCTTCCTTCCTCCCTGATGGTGCTCTGCATGGGAGCTCCCACGAGGAGGTCTGAGAAGCCATCTGCGTTGAGGTCCACAGCACAGACAGAAGCTCCAAAATATGAGCCGAGCTGTCCCAAAGCAAACACATCCAGCCATTGAGAGGAAAGCAGGGTTACTCACCTATGTTCTCAGCTACAGCAGAGGTAGAGACATATTACCTTTTTACCTTTCATTTCATGTAAGATATTGAGTTCTTTTGCATCAATGCTGAATATATATGCCTGCAATTGTAGAGATAATTAGAAAAGTTTATATTCTTATCAAATTCTCTTTAAAAACACTATTTGATCAAAACATCAATTTTTATAGTATAGAGCTGCTCAAATATAAAATTACTAATTTTTAAATAAAAGCATTAAATATTATAAAAATATTTTGAGTGATACAAAAAGTTTAGGGAGTCACTTTCACATTTATCTGCCTGACTTAAAAAACTATCCTCTGAATGATGGAAGGGTGAATTTAACTATGATATATTGTAAGAATTTTATAAATCTCATAATGTATGTCCAGTACTACAATAATATGATAATTATATAAAAGGAGTCTACCACTGCAAAAAAGAAAACAAAAAAACTACCCACTAAGGAATTACCTTACAGATCCTACAGAGATGGCATAGAAAGTATCCTTTGCCTCACTTTTCAGAAGTAAGACAGAAAAATTGGATGGCTAATGTTCACATTGACCTAGCAAAAACTACGACCAGAAATAACATTTTCTTTTTTCTGGTCTTACCACAAAACATGTAACTACTCCAATTTCCCTTCAATAAGTGTTAACTAGCAAATGTATTTCCTGGACAATTTTATAAACAATTTACTTAAAGGAAAGAAAGGCCTCATTTGACTTATATCATTTTCCTTAAAGGTTTTTAGCTAAGTTTCTTATGAAATCATAAATCTTCCACAAATTCCACTAATACAAAATACACTGCCATTTCTAACCTTTCATTCCTTAGAATATTTGCAGTTCTTCCTTTTATCTCATTCTCTCATGCAATCCATATGAACTTTTGTGACAAAATAGATAAAACCATAATTCTTACTTTACCAATCTGTTCATGTTGAGGGGCTCCTCCAACTACTTCAGTAGTGAACTGACCCCGAAAATGACCAGCTCCAACTGAGTATCCTTCAAGAAAGTAGAGGAGACAATGAGAATCATTGATTACAATGGCAAAATATATCCTAACTCTACTCACAGAATAACGTGAGACTGACTTCAAAATGATGACATTCAGTAGTGTGTTAAGACCATTTAGCACAGTAATACTGAAAGTTGTCACTCACTATATTTTGATATATGTATTGTGAAACTAATCGTGTGGTTTGTATCTCCAAGTTCTAGAAGGTGAAAATATGACCTTTATATTTGGTATCTTAGTTCCTGTGTAGTATCAAGATTACAACTGAAATATTTGACAATATATAAAACATTTTGCACTTTAAATTAAAACTTCCTAAATTTAAACTTTTATGCCATGAAATCTTCTTACTGTACTGATATGACATAAAAGTTAAATATTTTTATTTTACGTGATAGAAGACATACTAAATTACATCTCTGAAAATACTTCATGATATCCTTCAGTCATACATAAGAAAATGCTGAATTGCAAGTGAATTCCTTCTGTTTGAATGGGAAAAATACCACTTTTTATTATAATTATTTCTGAGTATGAGTCGCTCACATTTGAAGCAATACAGTTTAAACAAATCTATGTTTTCTGAGAAATTACAGGAAACACACATTCATTTTAATGGGAATTAGCACCAGAAAGTTTTGCATTTCTATAGAAATACAGATGATAAAGTGTCCTTTTGACTCATGAAATAATAAGGAAAAGAAGAATAAGGATGATAAAAAGAGTTAAGCTCTGAGAAATAGTGTAAAAACTTTTATAAGGCAAAGTGAAAGAGCAGCTTTTAGACTCCACTTCTTACCCTTTGTCAGACCCAATGGCTTTCATTTGGCCTTTTATGAAACTATACTTACACACTCATACACACATGTATAAATGAGCTAAGTCATACAAAATTCTCACTACAAGTTCCTGGAACATGGTGCACATGCGTTAGAAGCTACCCATCTAACAGCTAGTTGATTAAGTAAAGAGACAAGTCTGTGTTTCCAAAAGTGAGCTACGAAGGGGAAACTAAACCTGAATCCTCATCTAAGAATTATACAGTGATGATTAGTCACATGTTTTGAGGTAAAATATTAAGTTAACTAAAATTTCTTAGGCATTTCCCTTAATCAAGAGACAGCTTCTGAATGATTCAATTGCTACTGGCCTTTGAGATCTTTGAAAATATAATTTTCCATGTTTATAATTACGACTAGCTATAGTAGTAAATGGAATGATAGATAACTTTAGTTTGATGATTTTTACAATACCTAAATAACTTCCAAATTTTACTTGATTGTGTCTGTCTAAAAAAGCCTTGTATTTATTTGTAGTTATATTGTAGACGAAAAGAGAGCCAGTCCAATAAGATGATCCTGGGGCTCCCATCACAATTAAATCCTGTAAGAAGGAGACAATATGTCATCGTTTGAAGAAAGTTAAATTTTGCCATCCAAAACCTCCTCCAAATATATAACATTCTAAGTAATAGTGAAGACAATACAATTTTATAATGAATTTCTGATGTCTGTGTATTTTATTAATTTTAAAAAACATATCAGGGGAAAAGCCAGAGAAACTGGCTGATGGATTTAGACCTAAAAGAAGAATTTCAGAGAACAAACTCTCACATCACATTTATCAGTGGGCCTTAAAAACCAAAGATAGAATCATTAAACACTTGAATAAGCTTCCAGGAGAAAGGAAGCTTATACTATACTTACATTAGCACTCATTACGAAGATAACCATGTGTTACCAGAGAGTAAAAGTGGACTTAATTTATTTCAATTTGCAAAAATCACTGACTAGTTTCCCTGATAATGTTAGTTTAGAAAATAAAAAATGTCCAGTGGAATTCAGGGTATAATTTATTATCAGTAGGAATTCAGGAAAAGGAAACAGAAGGTAGGAATAAGCAGGCCCTTGTCCAGAAGAGCCTGATCTAACCTATTCAACATATTTCTACATTTCCTTTATTATTTATTGTCTTTTTTAAAATAGTTAATATTTACACAAATTATTAACCCCAAACTTGATACAGTCCAATGTCCATGGAGTTAGGAAACATTCATGAATTCATAGTAAATTTTAGAGAAAATCTGGGATATTTGGGGTTGAATATAACTTGTCACTTTATAACATTATACCCTAGAATTTTAGAAAAAAATAAGCATAGATTTTAGTTGGCTCATACTGTATTAATAGTTTAAATAATTTCCTCAAAATATATGTGGAATATTGAGGTCAAAATTAGTTCTAAAACTCAGGAGCTTAAAAGACATTATTGAGATGTTACACAGACTTTACTTAAATCTCCCATTAGACTTCTAAACTTCCAGAAAAATCACGGCTCTATGTGTAAACATTTGTAACAGCTAATGTTTGAACTATTACCTCTGTGTGAAAACTAGATATCCCAGCTTGACATGATGCAAAATTTTCTCCAAATTTTCTCACATAATCTAAAATGAAATATACAATATTAATATAAACATTTCAGGAATATATATGCGTATTTTTTAGATAGTCTCACTGTGTAGCCCAAGTTGACCTCAAACTCAGCATCCTCCTACCTCAGCCTCCCCGGTGCTCAGGATTGTATTTTAAAATAAAGACATACACCTCCATAATTTTGTTTTTCTTAGAAATCCTTACAAATATGCTATTTAAGATCTACATTTTGCACTCTCATTAAAAATAACAGTAACTGATGTAACTTAAGATCATGAAATGGCAATACAATATCTTCTACCATATCTTCTTGGGAAGAATATGCAGCATATACTTAAAAATGTCACCAAGTGAAAATCTAAGATAAAGGTAATGTGTGTGACTTTTATTCCACATTTCATTTTTCACTGTACATATTTAAGGTATGTGACATTTCATTCCGATATACATATACCTGGTGAAATGACTGCTCACTCAAGCAAATGAACATACCCATTTCCTTACAATGGCTTCTTTGTGTGGAAAAAAGAAACTGAAATCAATTCTCTTGGCAAATTTCCATGACACACTATACTATCAAGTAGTCCTGATGATATGCATTAGATCTCTAGAGTCATTCATCCTACACAACTTCAACCTTGTGCCTTTTAATCAACATCTCCTCATTCTGCCCCACCCTCCTACTCTGTCTATATATTTGACAGTTTTAAATTACACACATAAGGTCATTTGTTATTTATCTTTCTGTGCCTGGCTTATTTCACCTATCATAATGTCCTCCAGATTCATTCATGTCACAAATGACAGGATTTCCTTTTTAAAGATTGAATAATATGTCATTGTATTTACATACATAGATGTGTATGTATATATATACCCTATAATTCCTTATCCATTCACTTGTTGACAATTAGGTTGTTTGTACATTTTTGACTATTGTGAATGATGCTGCAATTAATATGAGAGTGCAAATATCTCTATGTGGTATTTATTTTGTTCCTTTGGGTATATACCCAAAAGATAAAAGAATTTCTGGATTGTATGATATTTCTATTTTTAATATTTTGAAGAATTGCCTTGCAGTACAGGCTGTACTAGTTAACATTCCCACCAATGTTAGGTAATGGTTCCCAATTTCTCCACATCCTCAACAACACTTGTTATCTCTGTGTTTTTGATAAGTAGCCATCCTAAAATGAGCGAGGTGATCTCATAATGGTATGAACTGCATTCCCTGATGACTAGCAATATTGAGCATTTTTTCATATACCTATTGGTCATCTTTACACTTTCTTTGGAAGGAAAGCTATTCTGGTTTCATACTTTTAATCAGGTTGTTTTTTGCTATCAAGTTGGTGAGTTCCTTATACATTTTAGATAATAATCCCTTTATTAGCAGATGGTTTGTAAATATTTTCCCTGATTCCATAGGTTTCTCTTCACTCTGCTGATTGCTGCATACAAGCTTTTTGCTTTGAAATAGTTCCACTTATTTCTGTGTTTGTTGCCTAAGCTTTTGGTTCAATACCCCAAATCACTGCCTACACCAATATCAGAAGCTTTCCACTAGGCGTTTTTTGGTTTCAGGTCTTACATTTAAGTCTATATTACACTTTGAGCTGATATAAAATAAGGATCCAATCTCATTCTTTTTGCAGGTAGATATAAAACTTTTCCAAAATAATTAATTTAGGAGGTTATTCTTTCCTGGAATTTTGCCCAGCGGAAAATAACAGTCAAGATTTACAGCCCTCATGATGAAGCCTCTCAGAGCTTGCTCAGGGGCCGGCTTTGCCTCTTCTAAAGAACTGACGTAAGGCTCTATGAAAATAAGAATCAGTAGCATTTCTTCCTCTGGCTTTGATAACCTGAAAACTTAAATTGCTACCACCATTTACATTACAGTACAGTACATGCCTTCATTTTCACTCTTTTCTTTTTTTATTCATTTATTCACATGTGCATGCATTGTTTGGGTCATTTCTCCCCTCCATCCCCTGCCCCATCCCTCTCCCCCCCATCACTCTTTTCATACCTTAGCTGAGCCAACATTTTACAATGTTAAGTGTGTTAATTTAGGCCACCTTGAAATTTTTGTAAAATATGACAAAGTATGTCTGAACAAAAATTAAAACTCTAGTGTGAAAATGTTTAAAACTATGAGCCAAAAGCTATTAGGCAAAAGAGGACAATAAACGCACAGAAACTTAGACTCAACTGAGTCTTACTGAAATTGGGAATATTCACTTTTTATCTACTTTCATCGAAAGATAAAGGAACATTTAGGATATAAGCTTCTCTATGACATCAAATTCCAGGAAAGGAAGATCCCAATATTATCAGAATCAATAATTGAACTCAAATACTTAGCAAAAGTTTTTCCAGTTAACAAAATTTGTCTTCAGATGCTAGGGATTTATTGTTGTTTTGGTTAAAAAAAATAAAAATTGCCATTCATATATTTTTTTAGTCTTCCAAAGACACTCTTTGAGAGTTTGGTTTTGTTGCAGATATTTTAAATGCTCTGTTGACATTAACCTGTAACTTCACTCATTTCAGCTCTGTTTGTATCCTATCACTGTATGGGATGTACCTGTAGCACAGATTGTCCATGGAAATGATCGTTCAAGCTTAAGACACCAATCTCTTGCTGTACCAAGTAATACACATGAATTGGGGAAAGAAAGAGTGGGGAAACTTGCTTACATTCCTATTTGAATCCTTTCGGTGTGTCTTGGAAGCTAGTGGTAAGATAAGAAACCTGGTCTTTCTTTATAACCAGACATTTCAATTTAATTTCATGGTTTAATTGTCCTATATTCTCTGGGCATTAGACTCACTTACACTAAATTAAAAATAAATTAAGCACAAAAGTAGATAATTACCAACTACCTTCCATTATTATTTCAAGAAAACTGTAGCGTTTCTATTTCAAAAGCACACAGTACATTTACGAAAACTAATGCTATCTGCAATTGGATAAAGAAAAGGAACATTTTAAGTAGGCAAGAAAAAATAGCTATTTCAATGGTTTCCTTCCTCTCTGAATATCCAAAGCTGAATACTAAAAAAAAAAAAAAAAAAAACCTAAAACTAAAAGGCATTCACTTGATCTAGTTTATCAAAATCATGCCTTACCTTGGTAACATGGAGCCATTCTCTTACTCAGTTCTGTTCGCAAGTCAGAAGGCATTCCATAGCAAACGCCACTGGGGAGCTTATTTTCATTCTTTATGTAAAATATATTTTTCCATCTATGCCCACAAGTCTGAATAAAATAAAAGTTGATCAAATAATGGGGAAATTGCACCCAGGATATCTGATTTCAGAATTGATGAGTGGACCAATTCCAATACTTACCACAATGGATCCATTTTCTCCTGGTTGTCTGGAAAGTGTGACCCCCAGCCACTGATTATCTCTCTCTTCCAAACATGTCTTTCCACAAGGTTCTCCATTAGGGCTACCTATAGCATTTAAAAGTAAGTTTATCTCAGTTTTCTTGCAGGCAATATTATTCTACAAGAGCTGAGAAAATAAGCCCAGGTGCTCAGCCCCAGTGTTTTTTCCTTCAGCCACTTCTTTATGATCTTATATTCTGTACACATTCTGGGGGTAAACATGAATTACTCTGTGACAACATAATTGTCCTCTCATAAAAAATAATTGTTTTTTGTTGAAATAACCTCTGACTGATGAAGAGGCCATGAAGAGGTAGCCTCAATGCTACAGGACAGAGCCAGCCAACATGTGGTGAAAGGGAAGACTCATTAAAACCAGCATTGGCTATGCAAATACAATTGTACAGTCTGATACTTGGGAAAGAATTTGCACTTTTGGTTGTGGGTTTTGGTTTTGTTTTGGCAGTACTGGGGTTTGAACTTAGGGCCTTACGCTTGCTAGGCAGGCACTCTACCACTTGAGCCATGCCTCTAGCACCCAAAATTTGCACTTTTGTTTTAACCTTTATCTAGCAATGTTAGCAGCATTACCAGAGCATTTTAAAAAAATTGTTGTATGGTTCTCAGCAATTAACATACAGTTTATTGGAGCTGAAAAGTGATGACTGAGCATGCAGAAAGTGGCACATATAATTACCCCAGTAATAATACATAGTACTTAAAATAAATGACCCTATCTTTTAGATTCAGTGGAATGGGAACTTGTGTTTTCAACAAAGATAAAGACTTGGAAAAACAGACTGTCTCAGTAGTAAACAAAAAACTTTAATAGGTACTTTGGCAAATACACGAGCAGCTAGAAACTCAAACAAATAAAATTCTCATGTGCAGCATGGTACTTCTAGATTGTACGATAAAAAGTGATTGCATGATCTTTGCTTTTCATTTGTTAGCATGACTTCTTTGCTTTATAGTAATGATCCTATTAAAATTCTACATTAAAGTGATTTCAAATCAGAGATTTGGGGAAAGAATAAAATGCAGTATCGCAAGATTCTTTTTGTTGGCTTATTTTCACCCTCTTTAGTTGTCACTTGATTCTATTCATGCTCAATTCCAAGGGCAGATAAATATATTAGCATCAACTTGATTGGATAAGCATGTGGAATATGGCTATCTTTAATTTTGAATGCTGGTCAGGAATTACCAAGTTTTCACACAGTTATAGTGAAATTCTCTTTACTGTTGTCTCCTATAACCTTGACCTTTATGTACAGCTTCCTGAGAAAACTCAGCATACCTATATAAATAAGGCTAGTATTTTAGAAGTGAAGTCATTTGCACTAAATCTCCTGAGAAGGAGAGATTTTATTGATTGTGCATACATTTGTTGTGTTCTCCAAATGTCCTTTAGGGAAAACACAACCCTTCAACGCAGCTGAACTGAAGAAAATTCCTAGCCCCTCCTTAAGACAGTCTGGGGTTACAGGGAAGACTTCACTGCCCTTGGTGGTCCTTAAGGTCCGAAGCATTGTTATAAGGGAAGGTGGATGATGCTTTTCTGGACAAGTTTCCTGGAGAATGACAACTTCTAGTAATTGGTAATGACTTCCAGGAGGAACAGACTGAAAGCAAGAAGCCTAAGGAGAAACTTCGATGCCAAGGTTGCTCAGCAATGTCTGCTGTTAGATTGGGAAGGGAGTCTGGTTGCAGTCCAAACCTTAATAAACGGTCCAGGTGGACACAGAAGTTTTCTGTGAAAATGAAGAAAGGAAGGAAAGGAGGCAGAAGGGAGAAGGGGCGGGAGAGACAGGAAGCAGGGGACCAAAAGACCATTGTCATGTATGACCAGTGGATAATACTGGGAATTATCGTGGCCACCTGATGCCAAGCCAAAAGAGCAGAAGTGAAAGAGGAAAAAATGATATTTTAATTTTCATTGAGATACAGCTTTCAGTTTCACTCAAATCACCAAGTGTTTTTTAATTAAAGTCAAAAAGAGATAATCAACGGTACATCCTGTGTACCTGAGGTTGAAGCTCCTCTTAACCATAATAAATACATTAACAAAATACCTTTCTAAAATTATAGTCAACAGTCAGTTAATTTTCCTCCAGACCAATTATTATGTTAGTTAAGGACAGGAGAGAATGGAGGTCACAAAGAACACCTGATTTCTATTAACACTTTGATATTTAACAGGTAGTTTCACTTAAGATTACATCCAATATTCAGAAACAGATTTATTCTTCTAGATAAAGCACTCAAAAGTTTAAAAACAGACAGTAGTTTGGAACCACAAAATACTTTGCAAATTCCTTGAGGAAAAGAGCCAAGAAGTTCTTGTGTACAAGAATAGAACATTATTACTATATGTCTTTTTCACCTGAGTTCTGCTTCCTAAGTCTTTAATGAATACTAGGCACACCTTCATAGTAAACTGTTTGCTGCTTAATCTCAGCTTCTGCCTCCGAAGATGTAACTCTAGCAGGTGACATTACTATGTCTTCACTGCTCAGTCTCACACTTACTCCTCACTTCCCCACTTTATTAGTATCACTTCCCTTAAACATATCTCCTGCATCCCACTCTTTTCAAAACAGCCACTGTGTCATTGACTGTTTTAGGATGAGTCCTGTGTGATCTCACAAAGTCCTGAGACTTTATTCCCAGTGTAGCTCATGCCACTCATTTTCTTTATTCCTAATTCTAAAAAATAATGATTCTTAAAAACAGAAGAACAATTAGCCTTCCAAATGCCACAAGAAAAGAGATTTGTACCTAACAATGTAATAAAAGCTTTCCCAGGAGTCTAGTAGGGAGGCCAATTCACCCTCAGGCTGAAAGATTTCAAACAGAAAAGCATGTGGTGGGTATGTGTGTAGGGAGTACAGGGGATGGAATCAAACACTACTAGACATGCTCTTGCATGTGATTGTTACCAAGAGATCCAAACAATAGATGCCTAATTTATAGAAAAAAACTTCTGATTTAAGATGATAAATTTCCAAGTATTGTTTATCTTCTTTTGGACAGCAGAGACAGTTCTCACCATCAGCACTTAAGGGCCCTCAGACACACAGGATGTGATCATTCAGAGGAAATTATCATGGTATTAATATCCTGGAGGAAGAAGGAGTTTCATTTTTGCTGAGATTAGCTACATTTATTTGTTTACAACTATTCTGGCCTACTTCCAAGGTTTAGTAAAAAAATGACCTCATCTTGGGCAGGACTCTATCTTGTTGGTTCATTGTCTCATTCCCAACACACAAGCCCAAAAAGTGTGCTGAAGATGAAAGGGTCTAACAATGACTAAAGCTTCTCCTATTTCTGTTATATATCTCATTTAAAAATGATCAGATATGAAGAAAAAAGAAAATTCATGAAAGTAATAAAGCTGCACCTGATGGTGGGAGGCAGTAGCCACCCGCTGCCCTTCTGTGAGTGGAAGAAATGGGTAACCAGATTTTTGAAATGCTGCATCTCCTTTTTATGTCTTGTGTCTCCCTTCATGTGATTTTTGTTCTATATGGAGCACTAACAGGGTTGGCGTTGGAAACATTTTTATTTGCAGTTATTTTGCCTACTTTTACTACTGCACCTTGCTTATGTTTGTTAGTATCAAACCTCAAAGCATGGCCAAGAGTTTCCAATAGAAACGGAGTTACATCTGTTAGGGAGGACAGTCTCCAGATCACTATAATTTCTAGTTTTGTAGGAGCATGGCTTGGAGCATTTCCTATTCCACTGGACTGGAAAGGACCATGCAAATATGGCCCATCTCCTGTACACTCGGAGCACCCTTTGGCTATGGGATAGGCTTGTTATTTCACCACTCTGGAAATACAGAAGTAGAAAGCAGCTTACATACAAGAACAAGTAAGAGGAGCAGAGGGAGAAAATATTTTTTGTGCAGATTCCATAAGGGCTATGCAGAAATGTATATGGTTGAAGCCTCACAGTTCCATTTACAGCACTGTTTTTTTTAATGTAGTTTAAACATGAAACTATGAAACCCCTGAGAGATTGAACCTTCTGATCAAAATAAAGTATTTATAATAGATTGTGAAAAAGTTCAAGCCAGTTATTCTTTCATAAGAAAATAAGAACTAATCCTAGGAAGTGACCAAATCCACATACTCTCCTTTAAATCTGCCTCTCCAAATAAATAAATATGCTTCTCCTTTTTACTTCTAAATGCTGTTTCTACCCCAGAAGTGACCCTCAATGCAACCAGTATGCTCTGAGACTTTCAGCATTGGTTACAAGACAGAATCAGTTTCTGTGAGAACCACTACTATTCTGGGTCTTTCATAATTGCTGGGGGTATTTCCCCCTTTTCTTGGGGATTGTCAGAAGAACACCTCCACCTCATGACCTTATGCTCAGAGGCCATCTTCAAGGCTTTTCTCCTTTTAACTCTTCTCCATGTGGGACTCAGTCTTGATTGGACCTTGGATCCTCTTGGAGAAGTTTAAACAAATACCACTTCTAGAGCCCACTTCTAGAGGCTCAGAAGTGAACCATGGATAGCTAGATGGCAGAAATGTTAAAAGCTTCCCAGGGAGTTGTAGTCGGTCTTAGGAACAACTGTTTAACAATGTAGATGATTAGGCATTTATTGTATTATAAGGGGAAAATATATACTATTTTTTAAGCAATAGCAATTTTTGTACCCTAGGTTTCATCTGGATATTGAAGTAGAGTTTCAAATGTTAAGTAAATTTTCTCCAAATAGAAATACAGTATTTCTAATTTGGTCAGAAATGATGATTATTAGAATTGTCATGAGAAAGCTAATTCTCGTGAATTTCCCTGACAGAACACCATAAATAAAACTAAGATTATCATTATATTATACCCAAATGTCTTGCTACAATGATTTATAATCTGTTTTTTAACTCAGCTCATACATTGCTAATCTAAACTCTCAATAAATCAAATCAGCACCATAATTGAAAAAATACTTTACATGGTTTAACATAAAAAAGGTCAGCAGAAATTAACATGTGATGATTTTCTACACTTTTATATAACTAGAATGACTAATTCTGAGTTTACTT